AGAAGTAGGTCAAATTTTGAATTTGAGGGAAAATATGATTTTCAGCCATGTTCAGGATACTATATCTACAAAAGAAAGCAATCTGATAAAGTCTTTTGCCCAAAGTAACACTATGTCTTGTCTATTAAATGAATACTTGTGGAGGTTGGGTTCTTGTGTCGTTGGTGTGCACTTGTCCCTCAAAGTAGGCCATGTTTTGGACATTTACAGAAATTGACATATACGGCAATGTTTGAAGCTCTAGAAATAACAAAGTAGGATGTCATTTGAATTCAATCTTTGCAGGGAAGTACATATATGTATTGTGTATCAAATGAATACTTGGGGAAGTTGGGGTCTTGTGTCATTGGTGTGCACTTGTCCCTAAAAGTAGGCCATATTTTGGACATGTACAGAAATTGACACATACATGTATGGCTATGTTTGAAGGTCTAGAAATAACAAAGTTAGATGCTATTTGAATTCAATCTTTGCGGGGAAGTACATATATTTATAGTATATCAAATGAATACTTGTGGAGGTTGGGTTCTTGTGTCGTTGGTGTGCACTTGTCCCTAAAAGTAGGCCATATTTTGGACATGTACAGAAATTGACATATACGGCTATGTTTGAAGCTCTAGAAAGAACAATTACAAAGTTAGATGATATTTGAATTCAATCTTTGCGGGGAAGTACATATATGTATTGTGTATCAAATGAATACTTGTAGAGGTTGGGGTCTTGTGTCGTTGGTGTGTACTTGTCCCTAAAAGTAGGCCATATTTTGGACATACATACAGAAATTAGCAAAACGGCTGTGTTTGAAGGTATAGAAATGACGAAGCAGGATGCCAATTCAATTCAATCTTTTAAGAGGAGTACATATATGTATTGTGTATCAAATAAAGGCTTGTGGAGGTTGGGGCCTTGTGTCGTTGTTGTATACTTGTCACTAAAAGTAGGCCATATTTTAAACATTTACAGAAATAGGCATATGCGACATGAACAAAAAAGGAAGCCCTCAAAATCACCCATGTGATAGCCAATACTATAATAAACACATGGTAGAAGGATGGGTCTGAAAATAAATTCACTTTGGTATTTTCATCAGCTCAAAACAGCCCAAAATCCAAATTTGGGGACAAGTGCAGAAAATGACCTACTTCGAGGTTGCCCAAAGACTGAAATCTGCATGTACATCAACTTCACACTAATTTAGTACAAGTTAAGGCATTGGTCTAATATCCTGAAGTATTTGTCGTTACGTTAAAGCAGTTGGCGGTGACCGCGTCCTAAACTTTGCCAATTTCCGTGTTGTAGAGACGCAAAAATCTGTCAAAATGGCCTCAAAACTTGAATGGGCTGTTGCCATGGCAACAATGGGTTTTGAGCGGAAAGAAAGCTATTTCAAGGGTTGTAGGCGAAGTATTATCACTGCAAAATATGAGCAAAATCGATTTTTGACCCCGCTCACTATTGTATGATCATTACAGACATTTGCTCTTAAAATGGCCTACTTTTAGGGACAAGTATACAACAGCTACACAAGACCCCAACCTCCACAAGCCCTTATTTGGTACACAATACATATATGTACTCCTCTTCAAAGATTGAATTAAAATGGCATCCTACTTCGTCATTTCTAGACCTTCAAACATAGCCGTATATGCTAATTTCTGTACATGTCCAAAATATGGCCTACTTTTAGGGACAAGTGCACACCAACGACACAAGACCCCAACCTCCACAAGTATTCATTTGATAAACTATAAATATATGTACTTCCCCGCAAAGATTGAATTCAAATAGCATCTAACTTTGTTATTTCTAGACCTAATTAAATATAGCCGTACATGTATATGTCAATTTCTGTACATGTCCAAAATATGACCTACTTTTAGGGACAAGTGCACACCAACGACACAAGAACCCAACCTCCACAAGTATTCATTTGATATACTATTAATATATGTACTTCCCCGCAAAGATTGAATTCAAATAGCATCTAACTTTGTTATTTCTAGACCTTCAAACATAGCCATACATGTATGTTTCAATTTCTGTACATGTCCAAAACATGGCCTACTTTGAGGGACAAGCGCACACCAACGACACAAGACCCCAACCTCGACAAGTATTCATTTGATACACAATGCATATATGTACTTCCCTGCAAAGATTGAATTCAAATGACATCCTACTTTGCTATTTCTAGAGTTTCAAACATAGCCGTATATGTCAATTTCTGTACATGTCCAAAATATGGACTACTTTTAGGGACAAGTGCACACCAACGACACAAGACCCCAACCTCCACAAGTATTCATTTGATACACAATATATATATATGTACTTCTCTGCAAAGATTGAATTCAAATGACATCCTACTTTGCTATTTCTAGAGTTTCAAACATAGCCGTATGTGTCAATTTCTGTACATGTCCAAAATATGGCCTACTTTTAGGGACAAGTGCACACCAACGACACAAGACCCCAACCTCCACAAGTATTCATTTGATACACAATACATATATGTACTTCCCTGCAAAGATTGAATTCAAATGACATCCTACTTTGTTATTTCTAAAGCTTCAAACATAGTCGTATATGTCAATTTCTGTAAATTTTCAAAACATGGCCTACTTTGAGGGACAAGTGCACACCAACGACACAAGAACCCAACCTCCACAAGTATTCATTTAATAGACAAGACATAGTGTTACTTTGGGCAAAAGACTTTATCAGATTGCTTTCTTTCTTTTGTAGATATAGTATCCTGAACATGGCTGAAAATCATATTTTCCCTCAAATTCAAAATTTGACCTACTTCTAAGGACAACCACGTGACAACCAAAGAAGTGCCCAAAGTTTGCAACCATGCATTTTATAGCACATATGTTTATGTATCTATGATTCAAATTTAAAGCAAAAAAATCACCATCTTTGGACTTACAGCACTTTGAAGTTGGGTAGAAATAACGCTTTTCATAAGCCTCAAACACTGTATTGTGTTAGGGTTGCCCAGGTCCTTTAAACAAACTTCTTGAAAATTCCAAAGCTATTCTAGAATAGCGGATTAGTTGGTCTGTTATGCCCCGTACTTTGTTTTTCCATAATATTAAAGCACTTGCTCGTAATCGTGCCTTAAACTATGCCAAATTTCATGTTTTTCACATGTCTAAATCAGGGAAAATGGCCCCGAAACTTGTTTGGCCCATTACCATGGCAACGATCGGTGCTGACCGGAAAGAAAGCTATTTTGAGGGGTTGTGGGCCAAGTACTATCACTGTGCAAAGTTTGAGCCAAATCGATTTTTTGACCCCTGCCACCATTGTTTGATCCTTACAGACATTCGCTCTTAATCTTCTGACCTGTCGGCTGTGTACGTAGGAATATGGAGTCGCCTGAGTTGACTCCCCATGCCTGCCTGCCGCTGAGACCAGCCTCAACCTGCTTTAGTTTTCCTGGAATCTGCCGCCAACCAGTTCCAGTAGGGGTGCTCGGGCTTGTTCCTTAGAAAAAAAGAGATTATATTTTGAACGCCCTTGGGTGCAGTAAGGTCTCATTTGATGACTATATATGGATGGAAAAAGTCATAAAAATGGCTCGGGGTAGCCCGTCTCGTTGAAAATTGTTGCCATTTGAAGCAGTGAATGTCATATTACAGGAGGACATTACTCTTCACTCTCTAGTTCCATACTGTACTACATTCGGTCGGAGTTTGCTGGTGGACCTCAGAAATGCAGCGAACACTAATAAAATTTAAACAAGAAACTAGCACAGGTGTTTAGGGTAATCACACAATTAAAGCCGTTCCTAAATAGACAATCATTGCAAGCGATAAACACTAGCTTATTCTTACCCCACATACACTAATTAAGGGTTAATGACCCGGAGCGCTCACTCGGTGGCTTTATTCGGTGGTTATAGCAACTGACAAGGCTTTATCACACCATATTCACCGAGAAAGGGCGGGTCATTAACGCTATTATCATATAGTCTATCAAAACTTACACAATAGAGAGTAACACATTCCTGTTTAACACATACATCTAAATTATATAACAAACCATTACATTAACACCTCTATCTTCCCTTCCGCTGGCCACTGTTCCTGTGCATCTTTCCTTGATTCCAAGGACCCACATATTGAATTTAAATTGGCATCAATCACTTCTTCTATGTCAAATTCTGACACACCATTGTCTAAAATTGTATGCCCTTTAGTGTGATGATTTTACCTGTTCTATCAGAGTTCATATGAGTTCACCGGAACTTCGGAATAGAAACGGTATTCCATTTGTGGTTATTTTGGGTCAAAAGAATAGAACAAGCTTCCATTTGAAGTCACCTGAGGTCATTTGGATGTTTCAATACGGAAATGTACTTGCTAGTGGGGGTGGCGCAAAATATGTTTTCTTTCGCTCAAAATGCTCATGTATTGACATGGTCTTTATTTTGTTATGTATTGCTAAATGAATTGGTTGATGACAAGACGGTAAACATTTCTATTCAACAAGGAAACGTGCTACAAATGTCAGCAAAAAGAGTCAACTCCCCTGCAAATGGTTTGCCCCGGACCGTGCTTTATTGTGCCACAAAGCACACTTGTGAGAATAAAACACACCTGGTAATACTTGTATCATGCCAACTGTGACATTATGGCGTCATAATCAATATGGAATGGGGACTTCTGAGTGGTCAACGCCACCTAACTATATGATAATTTAGTGTAATGGTTGCTTGCAATGATTGTCTATTTAGGAACGGCTTTAATTGTCTGATTACCATAAACACCTGTGCTAGTTTCTTGTTTAAATGTTTTAAGTGTTCGCTGCATTTCTGAGGTCCACCAGCAAACTCCGACCGATCAAGAAAAAAAACAACTTCATGTCTATCGACACTGACGGCATGAAATTCCTTGATCTCATCAACTATGTGGCCCCCGGCTTTTCTTACTCTGCCATCCTTAAGGCCTACGAGTGCGAAGAAACAATGGGGTTCTTTCCCTTTAGTGTTATGCGTTTTTTTGTTCCATTGTTGTTGTTCTTGTTGTTTGTTTCACTGTTGATGTGATTAAGACCTGTTACACCGAACAATAACATCTTTTTTGTCCCTCTATGTGACATATACGAGAGGATGGGCAGTCTGGACAAGCTAGACGAGCCCCGCCTCTCGGGTCCTGACGCGTTCCACAGCAAGCTGAGGGACTCGGACATCGCGGCGGAGGACTATCAGTACGGCCACAGAAACGGGCTGAAGGTGGCAGACGGTCACAGAAACGGGCTAAATAAAGAAATTGGTTGACTCCCTTCACATTTTTTTATCAGTGCCTTGTACATTTATTGTAGAAGGTGCATGTTTCTCCGTGACGATGACGTTTTCAAACCTTGGGTAGATAACCCACCATCGCCAAAATGGTGTGTGCACGGTAAACTTGTAAACCAAGAATAAGTCTCATTGCACGGCACTCTTGCTAAACCACATAAATACATACATACATGTACATACATACATACATACATACATACATACATACACACACATATACACACAAAAGGTACGGAAAGCATAACCTTCTTGGCAAAGGTAACAACGTACCTTCTGAGCGGCCAGTCCTGTAAACGGACATTCTCCACGTCCCTCCACACATTTCATCTGCTGTGGTACGTCCTGAACACCGGCGGTTACACTCCGACTCCGGCCGGCGTTCTCCGATACCGAGAAAGTCGTCACGAGAGCCACACCAACATTCGCGGGAGAACTGAGTGGCTAAACAAAGATGTCACTCATGGTTATACTAGCACATTTTTTGTTGTATCACGACAAGGAGAGTTACAGTTCTAAGGCACAAAATTAGATGTTAAAAGAAAAATTATTTCATTTTCATTTTTTCAATTACTATCATGAAAGTTCATCTGTGTTCAAGTTAAAACTTTTGATCCAACATAAAGAAATCTCTCACCTAGAGCTTTCGACCATTTTCAATTGGTAAGGTGATCTAACCACAAAAATAATCACCAGTGAAAAAAAACAGGTTAAAATAATTACGTTTTTTATGTCTCGTGTTGCAAAACTTTGCTGTCACGCTGCAAGGTTACCGGGCGGGAGTGCTTTTACTATCCGGACAGTTATTATTTTATGTAAAGGTACTAGTATGTAAGCATAAAATGTGATAAATATTTCCTTACTTACCCGCATATTGGTGTCCGTGTGAAGTGCAATGTTGAATGCATACGTCTGAAGTCATTTGGTCTGAATCCATGCGGTCAGACGGGAAAATTCGCTCCTCATGGTCTTCATAACAGCCGAGGTAACGTATGCCTGATTGAGTGGGGAGGGCACAAAAGTGTGAAACGAATAAAATTTAAAGCGACATGCATACAGAGCTAGAGTCCTGGCCGAGATCCACTCATTGTGTTCTGTTTTCTTCATGCCTAGTACCTCTTCACATGTACCCAACCAAATGTTCTTTGTATGTTGCCACTGTTTCTCAATGTCCATGCCTTGGCTCTCTAGCTGGTCTTGTAGGGCCTGAAACCTATTCAGCTGGAAGGATGCCTGAACACCAAAGTTCCTGAGCAGACCCACGTTGAATCTCCTGCGGGACTTGGTGGTTCTGTTTGGCTTGTAGTGGTCTGATGGCACTTCGGCCCCTCTCATCACCCTTTCATCCTGCAGAGATCGTCTAAATTCCGGCTGATGCAGACATGGTCTATCTGGTATTCGGTAATCAGGGGATCTCAATGTGGCCTTATGTAATCTCTTGTGTGGAAAAACACTACCGCCTATCACTAGTTGGTCAGCGAATCGTTCCGATTCTCGTTCATTCTTCCCATTCCGTGTGTGCCAACGATTCTTTCGTAGCCTGTTATGTCGGATCCTATACATCTCCAAGTTGAAGTCTCCTTGGAGAACTCTGATGTCAGTATTGTTTTATCTAGCATGGCTGATGGTAAAAGTCATCTTTCTTCTCTTCCTCAGCGTCGTTTGTCGGTGCTAGCACTGGATGACGTTCAGATTAATTTTGTTTTTCCCTGTAAAAGAAACTTGGCTGTGATGATAAAGGAGCTTACTGGTTCCCAGCTGATGAATGCTCGCTGTGCCTGTGTGCCCAGAATACAACTACAGCAATTCACCCGATGCTAGTCTCAGCTGGAGCCATCATGTCTTAATACACAGTCCTATGAGATAGGTGTTGTAGTTCCTCATCTCTTGAGTTACCTCGATGGTTCTCCCTGCCTGGTACATGTACATCGTCCTGATGTTCCCTGTAGCAATCCTGTGTTGATCCTGGGTGTCAGAAGGGGAGTCGGCCTTGCAGCTTCCTCTTCGCTTTTACTGCACTACGCCATGCGTCTCCGTTGCGAAGAGCCTTCCTCACCCATGTCGGGTTGGTTCTGGATTTTTATTGATTCTTCGTTAACAAATATGTTTTCTAGCTAAGGTTGTTAGCCTTACGCAAACCCATTTAAACTCTGTGAGAGGGTTTGGTGGAACTGCTAATTAGTACCTATAGATAATGAACGAGACAGCACAACACAACACAGGTAGCAGACGTTCATCAATAACTGCCTAAAGCGACGGTCACAACTCGCCGTACGTGCTTCTGCGTGCTGTCTACGTGCAAAAACGTGGGCAATCGCACGGCATCCGTGCGTGGTGAGTACCACCTCCGTACGGAATCCTACGGATTTGGGAGCACGCAGACACGCCGTAGAACTTTAAGTGCATGTAATACTTTTTCTACGTGCGGTCTGCGGATTTACCACCCGTGCGTGCACGTGCGACGCGCGTGCCCCGTACAGCCTATGAGCGTGCAACGTACGGACTCCGTGAGTCTAACTTCACTATTCTCACGTGCAATTGCTGTACGGACAGCGCACGAAGCATGTGCGTGCCACACACGGTGCTTGCGTCATCCGTGCTTACTCCTCACTTCCCAGTTGACCTGCTCAATGACCACGCAGAACACACGTGCACCATACCAGGTGCTCCGCACGTGCAACGCACGTGCAACGCACCTGATTTCTACAGTATATAAAGACGACTTGACGGGCGACTGCCAACTCGTCTCCAAGATGCCCAGGAAGGCTCAAAAGAAGTCTACCAGACAAGATCCAAAGAAACGGGCCGCGGAAGACACCAGGGCGGCTAGTGATGATGAATTTATCAGGAGGTGCACGCACTTACAACGTGCGAGTGAGTAAGGAAACCGTGCGTACGCCGCACGTGTAGGTACGGCCTGTACGCGGCAACGTAGCAATCGCACAGAGATCGTACGTTGTAAGCAGAACAGGATGAAGGGGGATCATAGGTGGCCTATACTCCGCACGGGGCAATGGTCCCAACTGACTGCTCCTATTCTGGGGAAGGGTAGAAACCGTCCAACCACCGTACTTAGTTTAGTCGCTAAAGCGACGGTCACAACTCGCCGTGCGTGCTTTTTG